ACAATATTAATAATTTGACTTTAACCGCTCCGACAATAACAATAATAGACTTGAAGTGCTCCAACAAAATTAATTAAATTAGAAATATGCAATTTACAGGATCATCCATTAAAAAAATGGGTTTCTAATAAAGACTAAATGTATTTTACAAAGCAAATTTAAAACTCATTATATGTAATTATTCACATTGCTTCACATTGCTTGAATGCTTCGCTACATCATTCCCCTGACAGTTATTGAGTTATATACGATAAGTTGAAGGCGACGTATTTTCTCGGATTACGTGTGGTTCTTCCGCTCCGTGTTACGTTGTTAGTATTGGCATTTAATGGAATTGTACCAGGGGGTTGTGTGTCTCTTGCATTCGACTTCAGTTCGTTGCTTGGTATAAATGCTGCGATGTTGTGCCTTTCGGGCGATGTCCTGCTTCATATTCGACCACACGTACCGCTTACTGATGAGATAAATAGTGGCTTTTTTGCCTGGATGCGCTTGGCGCGGTTGTTATATTCAGCATTTTCATTTTACCGCACCTTCTTTTTACAATTACATCCCAAGATCTTACTGACATCCATTCCTTTTGCTCCTTTTGCTCGTAGCCCAAGGTATCCTTGCAAATTCTTTCGAGACTTGTTTCAATATGCTGCCACATGTCCTCAATATGTAAGGATGGAAATTTTGCACAAATTTCCAACCTACATACTATGACTTGTATGTTAGATATTTCTATAAATGAATTTATTAAATATAATTATCATTTAGAAAATTGGAAAACAACTATAAATACCTTTGCACTACCACTTTACACACGTCACTTTGAGTAATTTAAACAAAAAGGAAACGTAGTTTATATAAATAATTTTATTAAATTAATTATTAAAACTCCGATATTACTTATTAATTAATTTTACTTATTTTAACAAACTATATTCAATCCAATTTAAAAAAACGCGCACATGTAAAAAGTAAAATATAAACAAACATTTGCAAACGTCAAAAACGTCAGAATGCAATTCGCTGCAAAACGATGCACAAGGAAGCTTTTGTGCAAAAGTGTTAAAGTGCATTAAGTTCAACTAAGATCAACTCAAAGCTTTGTTATTTTACACAAAAAGTTCAAGAGGATGCGTATAAAAGACGGCGCAATTTGCTAAGAATTTAGTGTGTCTTGTATGATCACTCGGTGGCATTGTATGTCAACATATAAAATAAATAAATATTAAAAATTTGTCTGACACAGTGGCGGTTTTAAGCCTAGTGTATAATCTATTTAAAATATATATATAATTGTTTAGTGCATGGGCGGTTTTAAGTCCAGGCGCGGAGACACTTTATATATATATTCAATATAACAAGACATATCTATATTCACTAACCCCGTTTCGTCCAGTAGGTACTCATCGAGCAGGATAATCACCGAAATCATACTAAGGTACAACCACGAAACCGGATCAGCCACCACTGAGAACTCTACAGGGACAGCTTACAAATACAGCTGGTCACAAGGAAACATCTCAAGACATATCTGATTAAATTTAACCAACCTCTTTGAAATACGACTAAGGAAATACATTCAAAAGTTACATGCGTTTAAAATCTCAAGTTATTGAAATACGATTGAAGGAATAATAATCTACATAAAGCTATCTTATATAACTCGTTGAAAATTGTACAAATCGTTAATCTCAAGGTTTTATCTAGCTATGTTTAATTGAAGAAATAATAATCTATATAAAGCTATCTTATATAAATGGTTGAAAATTGTACAAATAGTTAATCTCCAGGTTTATCTTGTTACGTTTAATTGAATTCTTTTCTTTATTACATATTATTTTAATGAATTATTAATATTTTAAATAAATCAGTATTTAAAAAATTAAACGCATTACTTTTATTTTGAGAAGTCCTGTCTCCGCGAATATAAATTTATTGTAGCGACCCCCTGGAAAAAACTGAGGATACCCCAGCATAAATTATAACGAAACGGGAAAATCCGTGTCGTTACGATTGGCGCCCGAGCAGGGACAGACAGACTTCTCAAAATTAAATCAAAGTAATATCCACGTTACCATCGCACGAGCTAACATGATCAAAATATAAAATCTAAATACTTTCATCCGTAGTCCAATTTAAGCCAGTTCAACAGAGAAACATACAAGACGTTCGCTTAAGCAGCACATTATGGACTTATCGTATGTACAAACCGTGGAGCAGATACGAAAATGGTCTGTAAAGTACAATGGAGGAGTAGATCCAATAGATTTTGTGGAAAGCATAGAAGAGTTAGCAGAACTTGACCACGTCAACGTGAATTTAGTTCCCAGGATGATGCCCATACTGCTTGAAGACAAAGCATTGATATGGTACCGCAACAACAATAAGCATTGGAACCTTTGGTCAAGCTTCAAGATGGACTTTCTAAAATTTTTCCTTCCACATAGGTATTTCGACAGATTAGAAGACGAGGTGCGAGCACGAGTTCAGAAGGAACAAGAAAGTTTTAAAGATTATGTACTGGAAATCAAATATCTTATGCGACACACAGACATGAACCAAGATTCGCAATTGGAGCGAATATACCGAAACATGCGCACAGAGTACCAAATGTACATCAAACGTCGAGACTTT